CCCCCTCGCCACTTGTGGTGACTTTTGAGGGAGCACCAAACCTCTTGCGAAAGACATTCAAAAAGTCCCTCCTTGTTGGAGGGAGGCTCAAGCCCTCAAACCGTCTTAAAAACGGTATACCCCCACCATAGGTCCAGGAGGCATCCGCGCTTCCCATTTCGCTCATCGACCAGGATCGTCTTCCTTCGGGAGGTCGCATGCCATGCCACGGTCATCCTCCATCTTCCCCATCTTTCCTCCAGAAGCGTATCGCCCTCGAAGTCGTACAGCTTCTTCCGGTCCTGATAGTGGACCCTGATCCCGACCTTCTTCTCGCCCTCAAAGTCGATCAGGTAGTCCCAGGAGTCCTTGGCCGACGTTCTCCGCGGTGGGACCGAGAGCACCCTCCGCACTGCCTCGTTGATGAGGCCCCTTTGGAATCCTGGTGTTCTCAGGTAGTCTGCCATCTCTTCCTCATGGCACCATTTCCCCAGGACAATGCCGGGCTCAACCGTTGTGACCAACCTCAGCGGCTCTACCCTCGGCAGGCCCGGCCGATGATGCCCTTCAGGTCGCCCACCACCATCTCCGTCTTGAGGCTGTTCTCCACTTCCCGGAGCTGCTAGCTCAGCTCTTGGGTTCCTTCCCAGTCCATCACCTGGGTCTCGAGCGATGAAGTGCACCCCATCGCTGTCCAGCATCACCCAGGTCCCTCCATAGTCTCTCCGTGGACCCCGTCGAATCATATAGCGGTCCCAGGCGCTCATAGTCATCCCTAACTCCGCTCGACGTCTCTCCTCGGCACCAGCATCATAGGCCCCTCGATGTCTTAGTCCCGAATCGTGTACTCGAAGATCTTCAGGGCCTTCTTGACCAGCTGCTGCCGACGCTTCACTCCGCACCTCCCCGATCTGGGTGCTCCGATGACATAGTCCCGGATCAGTTCCTTCAAGGTGTCCAGCTGGTCCTCATCGTTCTCATTGAGATTCGATCCACCGGATGGCTCGTTCCCAGCTCCTGTCTCTGGTAAAGTGGGTCATCAGGCTCTGCCCAAGGATATGCCTCCTCATGAGCTGAGTATCCAAATCCACGATTTCCCCGTTGGGTTTCACTCAAATCCTCCACGTGGTTCACCCCCACCTCCAGGATGCGCTCCACGACCAGCTGGGCTACCCGATCTCCCTTGTAGACTCGTACATCATCGTCCGACCAATTTCTCAGCAGGACTTTCACCTCCCCCCCTGAAGTCACGGTCCACGACCCCTGCTCCGGTTTCGATCCCCCGGATTGCCAATGACGACCGTGGGGCGATTCTGCCATATGTCCCAGCTGGAAGTTCAATCGCCAGACCGGTCTTGATCAACACACTCTCTCCCGGGGGAACCAGCGTTTCAATGGTGGAGTATAGGTCCAGCCCTGCAGCCTGATCCGAACCCCGGGTGGGTAGTCGAGCTTCTGGGCTGAGCAACTTCACCTTGATCTCCTCCTTCGGCCTGAACCACCTCTGGATGCTCGAAGTTCCCACTCGAAAGGCAATGTCGACCAGGATAGCGATGGCCGCCGTGATGAGCACGATGATCCACCATTCACTCGTGGACTCTGCCACCTCTACCTCCGCTGCCTCCACTCTTCCCAACAGACTGGCTGCCGCAATGAGGAGTCCCACTCCTCGAGTGAATCCCGGTTCGACCTGCTTGATGAGCTCGATCTTCTTGACCACGATCGGCTCCTTCTCTACCCCCTTCAACCCCAGAGCTTCCTTGAACCTTCCCAGAGCTGGTCCTGTGAGTTGCTTGGTGAAGCCATCAGCAACGAGGACCTTCCCGGACACATGATCCAATGTGACCTCCTTCTCCCTGATCGCCTCGGTGAGTCCAGCTGCCCTGATCCGGAGGTGCCTCGTCCTCCACGACGACGTCGTCCCCGTCGCGATGGCGATAGCGGCTGTCGAGTCGGAGTGAAGCCTCACCTCCGCCTTCTCCTCCACCACTGCTTCCAGCAAGGCTGCCGTAGATCTTCCAGCAATGAGTCCTTCCAACATCGCCATCAGCTCGGCTTCCGCCGTTGAGAGTGTTATGAACGGCTGCCTTGTCGTCTGCCATCCGACGGGAGTTCCTCCGACAAAAACGGCTACCCCGGAAATGCTTTTTAGCTCCGATGACCCATAGGAGGCGTCCGTGTAGATGTCAACCGTCCTGATCGAGGCCTTCTCATCGTTATTGACCTTTTCCCGGTTCCCTCTGTCCTCCGCCGACATGACCAAGACCTCCTCCAGCGTCTCCTTGAGGTGGGTCCGGATCTGCTTCCCGATCTTGATCACCTGCACCGGTCTCTTCGACGCCCATTGAGACATAATGCCGACACCCAGCGACAGGTCGGGTCGTGATCTTCCTGCCACCCACAACAGCTCACCCGTCTCCTTCTGTGCCTGGAGAACTTGGTCCGCCGTAGGCTGTTCCTCCTCCTCAGGAGTTCGTACTTGGCCCAAAGTGCCTCTTCCAGCCTCCTCATATTCGCTCAGCAGGTTAGTGATGTAGGCCTGCTGGTGGATGACATAGTCGACCCCACGCTTCTCGATCTCCATCCCCAGGAATCTCACAGGCTCTCGTCCTTCCATCACCCACTCTGGTTCACCAATCTTCCAATGGGTTCTCACCTGTTCAATGAACTCCAGGATGATGTCCTCCTCACCCACCATGAGAACATCGTCCACGTATGTCGCCAATGCTCCCTTTGTTTTCCACCCAGCTTTCTCATCTTCCTCCTGGATCAGCCAGATGTCCGTTTGAGGGGTGGCCTGCACTCGGACTGGTCTTCCTCCTCGATTCCATCGGAACTCCTTGATCTTCCCATCTCGGTGATCACACCAATCGCGAGGAGACGTCACTAACCCGTAGAGTGCTTTCTTCACCAGCCACAACTCCTTGGGATTCGCCAACACCTCGGCCTCCTGGAAGATCCTTGGTGGCTGCACGATAATCGTGCCTCGTTCGTGGGCTGCAGGAGCGTTGAGGAAGGCGGTCTTGACGTCTAACGTCGCCAGGGACCACTGGTTGACAGCCGCCAGCTTGATCAACATCCTCACCTCAATCCCACTCGCCCCGGATGCAAAGGTCGACTCCGTGCTCTTGGCGTTCATGAAGTTCCCACAGGCCACACCCCGACACTTGTGTCGTCCGGACCCTGCTTTTCTGCTGAAGATAGCCTTTGCCGGGACGAGGTCAAAATCCTTACCCAGAGCTTCCGCCTCTGCTTTCAGCCGGTCGGTCCGTTCTCGGTCGATGGGTTCCACCGCCTCCGATTCCATGATCAATGCAGTGTACTCCTCCACCATCGATGGTTTCCACTCCTCCAGATTCCTTCTGACCTCAGCTAGGCCGACCATCCTCGTCTGGAGAAACTCCTGCGCATCCCCTCGGGCCTGCTCCGCCTCTGTCAGCTGGACCGCCTCGGCCTGTCGTCCCTGGATCATCGCTTCTTCAGCAATCTCCTCCACCTCTGCCGTTAACATCTTGAGGAACCTCTCGTTGACAATCTCCCCGTCGTCCTCTTCAAGGAGAGCCAACTCCCGTGCTAGATGTCTGGCTCCTCGGTGATGCAGCTCCCCCCAGTCCACAGCCTGAGCCCCTTCTGCAGGTCCCTGAAGTAGTTTCATGCACTTCCTCACTCGCCCTGGCCTCTTCCGGGGCTGTTCCACTTCCTCCCGGTCGTCAACCTCATGGATGAAGCCAGCCTCCCTCTCCGGAACCTCCAACTCTGCCGGGGCCTCACCGACCTGGATGATGTCTCCCGTGTGGAACATCTTGCCGGATTCAATCTCTTGGACCAAATACCCTGGTGTCGTCATTGACATCGTCACGGCTGGGCACAGCACTCGGACCTGGGTACGGGTCGTTGAGAGGTACTTCTGCCTGTCGCTGTAGTACTTCCTTTTCGCCCTAACCACCTGACCGGAAGGTGCCAAGTCCCGCTTCTTCCAGCCCATTGACTCCAGCTGGCGTCGGCCGCGATGAGGAGGGTCCGTGCACCACGTTTCACCTGGGCAATCGCATTCTCCGCACGGCCATTTCCTTTGAAGTTGTCGCCGTCGTCAGAATGCCTCTGTCGTGGCACCACTTGTGGAACGCTCGGGATTGATACTCCCCCGCGCGATCCGAATGGAGTCGCTTGACTGGGAGCCCCAAAAAGTCAAGCTTGGCTGCGATTCTCCCGACCGCCTCCACCACTGCTGGTCCTCCTCGGTTCTCCAGCACCTCAACCACCAGGATCTGCTTGACTTGGAAGTCCCTCTCGACTTCTACCTTCTCCAGCCATGCCTTCTCGTCATCCAACCCTGGCCACTCTTCTCGCACACCCTGTTCCTCTTCCGTCTCCACCACCGCCAGCTCCGGACCCTCCTCTAGGACTCCAGGCAGTTCATCCTCCTCATTGATGGGAATGAGTGACTGTCCATCCTTCGTCACCGGGACCAAATAGACGCCCACAAGCAGGTAGCGTCCCTTCCCCAGCTGGTCCTCAGCTACCTCAAACGGTCCAGCAGTGTCGATCGAGAGTGTATAAGCGTCCGGGTGTGGGACGCGTCTGTGGGCTTTACTCTTCGAGGCAGCAACGACACATGCCCTGCATTCTCTGCTATAGGGCAGATGTCCATTGAGGAGATGCTTTTTCCAGGCATTGAGGTCCATCCTCCTCATCCGCGGGTCGCCCTTCTCCAGCGACTCCCTCACTGCTACCACCAAAGCTGCCTTCAAGCCAGGGGCCCATGCTGCCCAGGACTTCGATCTCGCGATCCTCTCCTGGATGCTGTCTCCCCGAAGATCTTCTCCACCATGACCTGGTCCACGGAGGCCTTCAAGCTCCTTAAGCCTCTGCATGTTCGTGCCTAGCCTCGTCGGCTTTCGGCGGGAGTGTCCCATGGGTCCTTGATCGAATCGCACCTCAAAGAGGTCCCACATCTTCTTGACCGTCTGCCACTCCGGCCACGACCAGTACGTAGGATAGCGAGGGTGCCGGCTCACCTCCTATTCTTTTTCTTCCGTGGCCTGATGTCCGGCTCCTCCGATCTCCCTCTTGGACTCCCCCAAGTAGGCCTCTGGATCATCTGGCTGCTCAAGTGCCGTGGCCACCGCCGCCGGAGAAGCCTTCGATGCCCGGTGATGGAGGTATACCTGCCTCAGCCACAACAGCGTATCCTCCTCCACCTGCTGCTTTAGCACTGGGTCTAGATTCGGCAGTCCAAACCTTCCAGGTCCTTCTCTCTCTCGAAGAGGCGGCGGTCCAGGTTGTCGATACCGCAACCGACTCATAGTTCTACATGGTGGGCCACCAAGCAGTGCGCGCAGCGTGCCACCATCAGCAATCTCCAGCAGGTAGGCGAAGACATCGTCACGTAGGAGGTTCATTCCCGGGTCAATCACTGTGTCGACGCAAAGTACTGCTCTGCCCTCTGACGCGAGCTCCTTCTGCCAGTGAACTTCTTCGACCTCCAATGCACTCCTGCTCTCTTCCCCATTCAAGACAGCCAGACGTGCTCTCTCCCGGACCATGCTCCTCTCGATCTCCACGATGAGCTCCCGCCCCAGGCCCTCCGTGACCGTCGGACACATGCCCTCCAACATGACATCTAGAAGGGCCCCACTGGGGTCAGTCAAGGTGAACCGATCTCTCTCCCAGTAGGCTTCATAGCCCAGCGAGATCAGGACTCCCAGGGGTACGATGGTCTGTACCTCATTCTGTGTGAGGAGATCTTCGTCCATGGGATCTGCCTGAGCATCACAGAACCTTCGGCAAGCTCCACTCTGACCTCCTGCGCTCGTTGCCATTCTTCCTCGAACTCAGCTCTCCGAAGGCAATGAGTGGCTCCTCCATCCAGTAGAGCTCTGTCATTGGTCTTCACCTCGAGGCTGCTGAGCTTAATGGCCTTCACCGCTGTTCGACCATCCCCCACCGGCCTCAAGCTCTTCAAAAGGGTAATCGCATCCGACAATAGGGCTTGTACCTCCCCTGAGCTCGCGGCAGGCTTCTCCACGGTCTTCTCATCAACCACCTCCTCGGCCAGAGTCTGCTGATTCTCCTGGCCTCCTTCATTTTTCTCCATCTTCTTGATCCCGGTGCCCTTCTCAAAACCCTTCTTGAAGGTCTTCATCTGCTTGTCTCCATCCGCCTTCGGCTTCACCGTGGGGCAATCTCTCTTGGTGTGCTTAGTTGACGAGCATCCAAAGCACCGGCCCTTCTTTTCTAGGCCTCCCCAGTCATGCTTGAAGCGGCATCCCTGCCCTTTCCGGCAGCCTTCATCAGACCCCCAAAAACGGCAGATCTTCTCATCTGACTTCCCCTCTCCCTTAGGCTTCTCTGTGCCCTTCTCAACCTTCTCCTCAATGGCGGCGGTCATCGCCTTGACCTTGGTGGCATGAGGGGCACCCTTAATCTCCTGGATCGGCTGCAGCTCACTAATGGCCAGGGATTCCGCCTCGGCGGTGAGCATGTCCGAGAAACTCATCACCGTTTCCAAGGTGGGTGTCACATCGACTCCCAATGTCGCCCGAGTCGACGACATCCGAAAGGCCACTTGGCTGGACGTCCGTCCTACCAGCTCCGTCATCTTGTCCAAGGCTCCCAGCAGCAACGTGGCATCCGGCGTCGCGATGTCCAGTTCCTGCGCTCGCCTCAAACTTCTCCTCCACCCCCGAAGTGCTTCAACCACCTCGTTCATAGATTGAGGAGCCTTCGGTTCCACCAGCTGTCGAAGCAGGCGAGATCTTTCCGCAAGCCCACCCGGCTGGTATCTCCGGAACAGTGCATAAAGGACTTCCACTGAACTTGTCGTCCGACTCGCCAACACCTCTGCCTTGATGTTCTGGGGAGCGGCATTGATCAGCATCAGTTGACCACGCTGCTCAAGGCGACTCCACACTCCCGAGCACTCTGGAGGTGTTCGTGGCCGGATGTACAAGCGCTGCACTGGTTCAGCTTGAAGCACATCTCTATAAGCTACCATGGCCAGGTTCAACACTTCCTCCCACCACTTCCAACTCGTGGCGCTCAAGTCCTTCATCGTCGGCGTGATGAGTTGGATCCAGTCACCAAGGATCAAGGATCCCAGATCTCCCTCACGAAGGTCCTGCAGTGGTGGGAGTTCAACGGATCTGATCACCTCCCCCCAGTTCCCATCCGATGAGTTTGTCCCGAGCTGCCTCAGAACAGACTGTGCTGCCTGTTCCAAAGGAGAGCCCTTCACCAGCTCTCGCATCCCTTCTCGGTCTCCCTGGTGTCCTGGTTCGTCACCTGGCTGTCGTCCTGGATGTAGTCCCCACCCTTGAGCTCCCCAAGAACCTGGCACCCCGGGTACTCCAGAGCCTCGTTGGATTCCATCTCTCCTCATAGAGTCCATCGGCTTGGTCTCCATGCCACCTCCCGGGAATTCCGGAATTTCCACGTCGGCCCATGCCTGACCCGGAACCTCCTTTCTCCCACGGTCAGGTGTCATCGGAGGTGGTGCCTTGGGAGGTGAAGGTGGTGGCGTCGACGTTGGAGGTTTGGGCACATCCTCAATGGCCTCCCTGACCTTTCCCTTCGTCTCCTTGCCACTCTTGGACTCCTTGATCTCCTTCCGCAGCTCCCCAACCTCCTTCTTCAAGGCTGCATTCTGCGCCATCACTGCCTTCAGGAGCTCCTTGACGTCCATTGAAGCCCCCCTTTCCTCATCCGCAGGCTCCACCCGTCCTGAAGTCTGGGGCACGTCCACCGCCTCTCCATCAGGCAAAGCCGCTGGCCTCATAGCCCTCAACCGGGCTTCAGCCTGCATCCGCTCGCTGCAGAACGGGTTCACGGGGACAGTCTTCGTCCCCTCCCCCTTCCCTTTGCCTGGAACTTCTCCTCGTCGTTGAGGTCCATAGGTGGTAGGAGGACCTTGAGCCAGGACCATGGCGGTCACGGGGACCAAGGCGTCCTGCGCGTCCTCCAGCGCGAGGAGCTCGTCCTCTTTGGCGCTCTCCATCGAGCCCTCCTCAGGAGTGCCCGAGGCCGAGCCGCCGGCAGCCGCTCGCCCCACCGGCCGCGCCGCCATGGGAGCCAGCGACTGGTGGGTCCACGAAACCCTTCCCCAGGTGGACTTCGCGACCCTCCTATCGCGTTGGGCTCATAACCCGCACATGCGGTCCTTTTTGACCGCTCTTGAACAAAAGGGCTTCATCACCCTCAGGGTTCAACCTTCTTGGTACACTTTTCGATTTGGTGCTTCTGGAGAACCAACAATCCGACAATTGCTATTCGCGTTCAAAGTCTAAGACATGCATTGAGGTGTTTCATCAGCTAACTGTTACCAAATGGTCCAGGCTCGGATCGCATTCAAAACGCGGCTGGTAGAGCAGGCCATTGATCAACGGATTCAAGCTCTTGACGGATCCTCTGGGTTCTCTGACTTCACCATCATAGCAGTGATTTGCACAGTCAAGCGGAACACTTTGTGTTCTCTCAGCCTACTCACTCCGATGTTTTAATCCGAATGAGATAGTTACGACCATCGCTCCCCAAGAGAAGCTGGTTTTGGGGCTCTTTGTGTGTTCAGCGGTGGAGGTGGCGACTGCACGGGTTGAATCACCAGATCGCCACCTCTAGCGCTGAGACCACAGGGTTACAACATATCACGCTTCGATGGTATGCACACAGGGTTAGAACATGTTGCAACTCAGAACATCCTCCAAATAAATGGTTGAAACATCCAAGTATTCTACTGACAGAAATCTATACCAGGTAAGAACCGAGAAAACGCAACGTCTCCGCCTAAAGTATGACCTTACCTTCATTTCTTACGATGTTTTGGCAGTACTCTGTTAAGCGTCTCAAACCAAAGCCTTCCTTTCTGAGGATGCTACCTGGCCACCGTCAACCTCGAGCAAAGCGCCGAGCGCGACACCAACCCAGTCTTGACGCAAGGGATCTTTCTTTCGAAACTTTGGTGAATCTGGTACATATCAAATATGGTTTCTAAGAGAGATGGCCTCCAACCTAGAAGCAAACTCTAAAATAACTGCGGATCTTTTCGGCGAATCGGTTGGGAAGTGGTCTCCATCGCACGAAAGAAACCAAGCTCTACAAGTCGAGGGAACAAACTAGGAGTGTCTCAACTTCTTTAGAACGATCTTCAGCTGGTCCATGACAAGCAGGTTGGTCAACCTTCACCATGCACCAGTTCGGCACTGAACACTTAAACCTGCGTACCACCGGTCCAGAGCGGCAATGGATGGCAATTGTCCCACCTTCATGGGTACAGTGCTCCAAGGTTTGCACTGTCCACGCCCAGAGCAAACCTGCGACGTCGCTCTGTGAATACCAAGTGCTCATTGGGTGAAATTAAGTGACTCTGATGATTCGCAATTGGATTCCTGGATACTTCAATCCTGAAGGGACAAAGGACTTACCTGATGCTATCCAGTGCAGGATAATATACATCTTAAGCGGGAGACTCAAACCTACAATGGCAAACGACCTATGTGGACAAGACACGTCGTCTGTTGAAGATTCTTGTGATCCCAAGGCAGACCAGGAAACTCTCCACTCTTAAAGAAGTTCGACAATCCCAGAAGAGCCTCTTGTTACTAGTAGTAAGGCCAGTAGCGATGCCCTTTGTTCCTAGTACGTCCTTGTTTATAGTGGTGTTTTTTACGGTGTCAGTGCTCATTCTCACTAGCTCCGGTGCTAAGCAGCCAACGAAAAAGTCTATCGGGCACTTTGAATGAGCAAAATATTTTAAGACCTTTTGTCCTTTTCGGTTTTCTTTGTTTCTAGCAATGGCCTCCACCCTAGTAGCGATGGCCTCCATACACACAACATTGCGCGACACTACTGAGAGATGGGCGGTCAGAGGGTGTAGTTCGCAATGCTGTGAGAAGCATTCGGAAATTGGAGGCAAGAGAGTCTTTCTTGCCAACGCGTGGGACTGAACTCGGGACTTGTGTTGTTACACATGGGATTTGCGGGTCTGAATCGTGCTCCCAAACACATAGTATTAGACCGAATGTCCGATTCTGTCATGTAGAAGCAGTAGGCACGCTGTAACGTGCCTCTTTACTTCCTTTTGGAATGCTTGTTTGGCCAACGGTAAAGCTCAAAAAGTTCTCAAGAAGCTACTAGAAACAATAAGCTACTAGTAAGGTACAGCTACTCCAGGCCTTGGAACACCTTAACAACACGTAGGATGCTCAAACCAAAGCCGTCGCTCACAGCTGTATTTCCACACGCCCATCACCTAACTATTAACTATGTAGATGTTTGGGCGCAAGGAACTGCTGCGGAAGTACTGACTACAAATGCACTTCTGACTTCACACCAAACACTTCTCTCTCTGGGTCCCTGTGGCGCCTGCTCGCCCACTCCGGCAGAGCGACAGGAGTTGAGGGAGGCCGCAGTCTCTGGGAGACCCTCCGCCACCTCCGATCGATACTTGCGCACACGTCCCGCGCCACCCGACGGCCCGACATCCCTTCCCTTGAAACCGGGGTACCGGGGTGTTTGTATGTAAGACCTATGAAGATATGGACATGCACACCCTTTCACTTAGATCCCTCCCTGACTGGTCTTGGCGTCCGGCAAGCTTCCTGTCGAAGCTACTAGTAGTTAGAAGCTACTAGTAACAAGGGCATCGCTACTAGGAACAAGTGCATCGCTACTAGTAACAAGAAGCTACTAGTAACAAGGGCATCGCTACTAGTAACAAGTGCATCACTACTAGGAACAAGTGCATCGCTACTAGTAACAAGAAGCTACTAGTAACAAGGTGCATCGCTACTAGGAACAAGTACATCGCTACTAGTAACAAGAAGCTACTAGTAACAAGGTGCATCGCTACTAGTAACAAGTGCATCGCTACTAGAAACAAGTGCATAGCTACTAGTAACAAGGTGGATCGCTACTAGGAACAAGGTGCATCGCTACTAGGCTAGGAACAAGTGCATCGCTACTAGGAACAAGTGCATCGCTACTAGGAACAAGTGCATCGCTACTAGGAACAAGTGCATCCCTACTAGTAACAAGAAGCTACTAGTAACAAGGTGCATCGCTACTAGGAACAAGTGCATCGCTACTAGTAACAAGAAGCTACTACTAACAAGGTGCATCGCTACTAGGAACAAGTGCATCGCTACTAGTAACAAGAAGCTACTAGTAACAAGGTGCATCGCTACTAGGAACAAGTGCATCGCTACTAGTAACAAGAAGCTACTAGGAACAAGGTGCATCGCTACTAG